ACTCGTTAATTTTGGTGGAGGACGGGCACGTGACAGCGCGACGGAGACGACAATGAGTGGGAGCGAGCGCGATACATATTCCTTTCTCACTCAGGGGGGGAATAAATATATATAATCGAACATTACTATAGTAAAAAAAAACAAAATCTGCACAATTATTCAATAGAATCACTGGAAAACTATAGAGTTTTCCAGCGACAGCGCTGGGATTTTCTATGAATTTTTTTACCTACGTGTCAATGATAAATATGTCGAGAAAAAGGAAAAGACTTTTAGATCATTAGATTGTGCATTCATTATACTATTGATTATAATATGTTCGATTTTACATTCCTGACAATTATTACACAATGCGAGGAGCTACCGTATTGAGAACCCCTTTCCGGTTATCGACAAATTTATGCTCGGGCCCTATCATACCAACAGTTCCGTACGCTCCATCGTAGTCCATGCGCTACGTTTTTTTGTTGTTGAACACTTTACATTGGCCCTGTTCATCTCCCCTATAATCTCTGATTATAGTCCCTAATAATATATAATGTGATGTCTTGACGCTGATTTTCATGGTTGGTAGCATTGATCAGCCATCTTTGTTCGCGATATTCAAATTAATATTGAAAATTAATTAAATAACGTAAAATCTTTAAATACTCAGAAAATTCGAGAATGAAAGGACAATGAACAAGGGAAGAAAAACAACTTCGCAGGCGTGAGAAAAACCGTTGCCGGAAGTAAGAAATGTCAAGTACTTGAGCTTACTTCGTAAATTTATAGCTCTCCAAAATTCCTCACAACAATACTTTTCTTGAAATTCTGAAATTTAGAGCGAAAATACACTCGACGGTCACGGTCGTAAAATTGTTAAATCTCGGTTCTGAGATATTTAGAAAGTCTCTCTGATTCATGTGTTCCACACGTGTTGAATGTTGAGTTCTCCTTTGTTCATTACATCGCGGAGCTGAAGGGCCTGAGACCGCTCAAGAGGGAAAACTGTTGACGTCACACGCCCCACTTTCTCCCTCTTTCACTTCCCGATTTCTTTTTTAAGTTACCCCTCTTCCCTTTCCTCCGGGCCAAGATTGCGCGACCAAAAGGGTCTAGTGGGGGTGTATGGACCCAACCCTTAGATTTTTTGTTTAAGATAGAGTGAGTCCCATCGTGGCTGTTGTTCCGACAACTTTTCCAGCTTCTCTCTTCGATAAGTTTTTCTTAAAGTTTTCCATAAAAGTTTTATCAAGTGTATTTGTCTACCAAAGTTTTCAAGTTTAAATCAGAAGTTTGAAATAAGGAGTGTTAATGTGCTCTCCTAAGCACTGGTGTTTTTGATTCATTCTGGAATAAAGCCTCAACCCATTTATCCAAAAATGAACGAGTAAACATCGATGGAGTCTTCATCAGAGGTTTAGCGGCTAACGGATCCACATTTCGAAGTTTGGCGCTCGTTATTTCAGAAAGGCGCCACTGTCCTCTTAGTAACATTGATAGCACATAACAATAACTTACTGGCAAGCCAGCTCCACTGTAACTAATGATTTCTCAAACATTCCCAGCGAATAATGGCCACAAGTCACTGAGAGGTCATACTTTGTAATTCAAACTACACAAAGTGGGAAATCACATCTACTGTCAAATAATAAAATATTCAAATTTTCACGTCATTCCATAAATTCATGATGATATCACTTTCTTGGGAATTCTAAAGCCCTTTGGATTCAATTCCTGCGGGAATTTATGGTCTTTCTAAAAATTCGGGAAAACGCAATGCAAAACTCTATTTGTTTTGAAATATCTGATCATTTTGGGGCTCTCTGAGGTCTAAAATTATTCTTAGACCTTCAAACTCGATTTTTATCTATAAGGTTGTGTATTAATTAACGAGTATTTTTGTTAGAAAAATTCAGAATTCTTCACATAAAAAAAAAGATGATTTTTCCAGCACTTATTTAGCATGTGAAATCCAATTGAAAATAAATGGAGAAATTTTGGGAATAATTGAAATTTCGAAGATTTTAATTCGTAGATTCGAACATCAAAATTTTTGCTGCGTGTTAAGCCACCCAGAACCTTGCACAGGACAATTTATTGGTCAACACGTTTATTTTAGAAGCAAATAAAACTCTCCGGTATGGCAGGTCCAAAATTTGGAGGATAAGATTGGAATATAATACATTTCACCAACTATACAACATAATATCAAATGTAAAAAAAATCAAGTCCCTGGATTATACGAATTAAAATATTCATTCTAATTGCAATATTTTATTTCTCCAAGAATTCAGAACAATTACTTTTTCATCGTTTGCAATTGAAATTTAGTTCTCATTTCCAAATGCTGCACTTATTCATGGGATTCATAGGCGAATTTGCTGGACAATTAAAAGCGGCAGCGAAAACTTCATTATTGGATAGAGGACCATTAACTCTCTGCTTGTTTGGACTGTGTTCATCGGTGTTACCATTTTTCTTGAGGTACTCGGGGCTCTGATTTGTACACCATGTCTAAAAGTAAACAAATTGACAACATTAAAACAGCTCATGGTCAATCGAAATGAATGATTGATGCATAATATCAAGGTCTATACAACTTACATTTCCAAATGCAAGGAAAAATAGTTGATCATCAGTAAATTTCTCCAAACCGGGAATCCTCGCACTACTAGTTCCCTTTTTCTTACGGTCTGTCTGGTAGGCATCCCAAGCAATTATCAGCCCTTCAGAATCTGATATATTCTCTCCCATCGTCAAAGTTCCATTAAGCTGAAACAATATTTTGCGATTTATCGAGGAGAAAGATAATATATTATATTATCTTGATAACAAATCTATCGTGAATTGGTAAACCAGGATGAAACAAGTGCATTTTGCTTAGGATTAATTATCGATGAATATCTTGGAAATGAAGAAAGATAGCGAAATTTTCATTTAGATCGTTTTTATAGAGCGAAATGTCAGCTACAAAAAAGCTTCTCATAAAAATTTCTCTATCTATGTCCAGTTGCAAGATATTTATCAATAACTGACCCGTAGCGAAAAGCAGTTATCCTGGTTTACCAATTCACGACAGAAATGATATCCCATATCTCAGGGGAAATGTTCAAAGAGAGATCTTCGTAGGGATCCACATCAGCAGCAGAAGATATCTCTTGACATTTTGTCCTCAAATCTTGTATTATCCAGATTGATACAGAATCAGCAGCATTTTTCAATTTCATTAATTTCGTCTCACATCTTCACAACTGCGTTGACTTATTGTCGGTAAAATTCCGGTGATGAATAGACAAAGAAATATATCGTGAAACTTACATGAATGACTTCCTTTCCATCATCATATATTACATAATTATTGAACTGATTGATGAAACATTGTGCTCTCTCTTGATATTTATCAATAGCATCTTGGTTCCACCAAACCACCGTATCACCGTTTTTATTAAAGCGTCGTCCTGAAATAATATTTCTAGATTGATGGCACGATCACTGATTCCGTGAAATAGTATATTTCGATACGAGTGAGACGGAATTTTCACGAGTGTGAAGTTGGCGGTACGAGGCGAAGCCGAGGACTGCCAATCACATGAGCTGAATATTCCCGTCTCACATGTGTCGAACAATAGTTTTTGACACTGCTGCTACATTCACCTCGTGTCGAAAAGTGCCTTTATGCCACTCATGCCTGAAACCGGCTGAATTAGGCACGAGACGCGAAGCGTCGAGAGTGTAATCCAGCCGGTTTTAGGCACGAGTGGCGTAAAATACATTGTTGACACTGCTGCTACGTTCACCTCGTGTCGAAAAGTGCCTTTATGCCACTCATGCCTGAAACCGGCTGAATTAGGCACGAGACGCGAAGCGTCGAGAGTGTAATCCAGCCGGTTTTAGGCACGAGTGGCGTAAAATACATTGTTGACACTGCTGCTACGTTCACCTCGTGTCGAAAAGTGCCTTTATGCCACTCATGCCTGAAACCGGCTGAATTAGACACGAGACGCGAAGCGTGTTTCATTGGTGACATAAAATTTTGTTCAGTACTTGTTGGGAAATTTCGTCCTTAACGTGTGTGGTTACATCACTCGCCTTCGGCTCATGCTGTAAACCCCACACACGTTAAAGACGAAATTGCCCCACACGTGCTGAAATATACTATTTCGGTAACTCATAAACAAAAAGTGACGAATCGTAAACGAAGTCTTTTCGTTTACTAGTAAACGAAAAGAACGCTTACGATTCGTCACTTTTTGTTCACGAGTAAACGAAAAGGCACTTTTCGACACGAGGTGAACGTAGCAGCAGTGTCAAAAATGTATTTTACGCCACTCGTGCCTAAAACCGGCTGGATTACACACTCGACGCTTCGCGTCTCGTGTCTAATTCAGCCGGTTTCAGGCTTCGTGACATAAAATTTTGTTCAGTACTTGTTGGGAAATTTCGTCCTTAACGTGTGTGGTTACATCACTCGCCTTCGGCTCATGCTGTAAACCCCACACACGTTAAAGACGATATTGCCCCACATGTGCTGAAATATACTATTCCAGAATTTCAATTTTTAAATTGAAGTTGTTGTCGACTCTAGTAGAATGATTAGGTGAAATTAAATTCGTACGATTACCTGAACTATCCAAGGAGTGACAAATTTCATGCCCAATTATTCCACCGACCATTGCATAATTAAATAGGCTGTAAAATTATCACTGTTAGAATCCCATTATGACTTTACACATTTATTTTATCCGCATATATTACCTGGGTCTATTCGGGTCATATACGGGGAATTTGAGAATGGCGGATGGCACCACTGAAACATATTTATATCATAAGCCATGCTGTAATTGCCGATTTACTCAGGTTGCGATTCAACAGGTATTATTTCAAATGTCCATTTGAATTGAGTTTTGATACTCACGCATAGCGTTTGCTACTGGTACATAAAATGCATTTATTTCGGTAGGCTCAGCTGGCCATCTGCAAGTATAATCAGAATAATCAGAATATGAATAAAAAGTGTCTTGTCATAGTTTTCCATTTCACAGCAGAATCATTCCACTTACGTTTTTTTGTCCGTTGGTTTACGTAAACTCCTCAATTTTTTCTTCATCATAAACCCTCGCTTTGTCTTTTCATTATCAAAGAAACTGTCTGATGCTGGATACTGCAGTAAAATGAAAATCCAGAATGTTTGAATGGGATTTTTTCATAACTATTACAGAAATTTCTCAACCCTCAAATGTTAATTTTTACCTCTGAATAATATTCATCGATAAAAGCTGGGCTGTAGTAATCTGGATAAGCAATAAGCTTGGACATCACATGAATTTTTTCAGTAGCCAGATTTTTTGTCTCAGTATCAAGCCAAGAAGATTGCCGAAGATACTTCTCCATAGCATTTTGCATATTCGCTACCATCTCAGTCACCTGGTGAATAAAACATGCGTACTTCCCGACAACATTTTATTTGGATAAATTCAAATTACCGCTTGTTTTATTTCTGGTGATGCGTATTTTTGGGCGAACGCATAAGAAACGGCGGCTTCCAATGGAGCTGGACTCGCGCATGTGGATTGCCTGAAACGAAAATCGAAGAGTGCTTCAGTCACAACATGTGATTGCCAACAAGAATTTTTAACTGACCTATCTGGAATGTTGTCTGCTCCAATGCGTTGATTACCGAGAATTTGCATGAGGCTTCTCAATTCATCATTGGCGAAAAGAGCTGCATCGTTGATTACTCTCCACATTATATAGTTCACTGCAGTCAGAATAGTGAGAGGTAATAGACCTTTTCATTCTGAGAGTCACTAGATTTGCGGACACTTTTTTCCGATGTTAATTCCCCTAGGATTTGCGGACACTTTATCGAATTTACATATAAATCATGGTTTTTGAGCGCTCAAGTGTATATCATTGTAAAGTTCAATATTTATCAGAATTTTCCATGGTTTTTTCGGAGATTTTTTCGTTGAATGAACGAAATAAATATTTCCCCTAGATTTCCAGAATGAAAAGGTCTATTATTATACAGTTCAGTAGTGAAGGGGTAAACCGTCATAAGTCCATTTTGATATTCTCATTAGTTTTGCAAATATCTTGAAAACGCATGACTTTAGGGAAAAATGTCAAAAGACATTGTTTGAAACGCAACTAAAATTCCAGAACATTTTGGTCGACCATCGGCCTACTTCGAAAATCTACGGGACCCTTCGGGTCATCAGTCATAAGTCACCGAAACATGCGCGAATCAGTTTAGGCTTAGCCTCTCACCGTATAAGTCTATCTCGAGCAAATCACCTGTAGATGTCGTATAGTATCCATTCGCATTTCAACGAGTTCACATCAACTAAGTAGTAGTCTCTCAACTAGTCCACAAGTATTAAGTAGAACTCAACGAGTAATTCAACGTGTAGAAATTCACCGAATAGTTATTAACGAGTATTAATCAACATTATTAAGAGTTCATATCGAGAAGTCGATTCAGTCAATTCCCTGACGGAACCTGTAGACTGCTAGTAGAGAGTGAGTTGACTCTCTATTTGTTCCTGGAGTGGAGGGAAAGTTGAGAGTTCGTGGAGAGTTGGACTGACAGGGCCAATTCTCTACTCATGAGTACTTTTAGAGAGTAGATAGCTGAGGGGAGGACTATTCTGGGCTTCGTGGATTTAGCCCCCTGAGTATTCCTACCCTCTAATGTTTAGAACCTTAGACCTCGTTCCTCTTTGAACGCCCAGACCCGAAATTTTTTGTGAACGCTGAATGTTATGGCCCTAAAACCTTCCAAACCCTACAGATTATGATTCATATATTGTGACCCTTATATTTTCAGACCCTTACTGATTCTGACCCTTAGATTTTGACCCTAAAAATTTCTGACCCTTAAAAAAGTCTGACTGTCAAATATTTGAACCATATTATTTTTGACTCTTAAAATGAGGCCAACTCTCTACTATCTACTTTTGTAGAGAGTAGGGAGTTGGGATCGGATGCTTGGTGGGGGCTACTCTCCACTCTCTACAATTTGTGGAGAGTGGATAGTTGGGATTGCGGACTCAATATGTTGTGATCGTTAATGCTTCTGACCTTAAGATTTCGGATTTTGACACTCAAAATTTCTGACCCTTAAAAAATTCTGACTGTCAAATATTTGAACCATATTATTTTTTACACTTAAAATGAGGCCAACTCTCTAATCTACTTTTGTAGAGAGTAGGGAGTTGGGATCGGATGCTTGTTGGGGGCTACTCTCCACTCTCCACGACTTGTAGAGAGTGGAGAGTAGCCTCCACCACGCATCCGATCCCAACTCTTTACTCTCTACAAAAGTAGATAGTAGATAGTTGACCTCATCTTAAGGGTCAAAAATAATATGGTTCAAATATTAGACAGTCAGACTTGTTTAAGGGTCAGAAATTTTTAGGGTCAAAATCTAAGGGTCAGAAAATATAAGGGTCACAATATATGAATCATAATCTGTAGGGTTTGGAAGGTTTTAGGGCCATAACATTCAGCGTTCACAAAAAATTTCGGGTCTGGGCGTTCAAAGAGGCATGAGGTCTAAGGTTCTAAAGATTAGAGGGTCAGATTACTCAAGGGTCTAAATCCACGAAGCCCAGAATAGTCCTCCCCTCAGCTATCTACTCTCTAAAAGTACTCATGAGTAGAGAATTGGCCCTGTCAGTCCAACTCTCCACGAACTCTCAACTTTCTTTCCACTCCAGGAACAAATAGAGTCGAATTATCCACTGGTTCCGCTAGGGTTAGCAGTCAAAATTGAATACCTTTGTTCAGTACATCACCTCTGTTGATTAAATTCAGTTTAAATTCAGTGACTCACCAAATTAATGTGCAAAGACAAACATCAGTGAAATTAGTGACTGGTAATTTTCACCAGTGAAATTACACATTACCAAAGAGTGTACATAAGTTTTGACAAAGTGGTTCGATCCCACAAAATAAAGTGTGAATTTTTAAATCCGGCTCATCAGTAATTTTCCCAACATCTCCCTCCACATTTTCATCCCACATCCACCCTAAATCTAGTCATTCACCAAACAGACATTTTTTGTAGATAGAAAAATTTGCAACAAAAATATTCTTATATTTCCTCCTAAAAACGCTCACCGTCGAGATAATTCAACATTTAACAAGATGTCAAAAATCGACTTATGACGGTTTACCACTTCACTACTGAGTTCATTCCTGAAGTTTAATGAAGTAAGTCATTTTTCCATGAAAAAAAAAGCTTCGTCACTAGATAAAAAATCGGAATTCTGGCGAATACGAATGCAGATTTCGTCTTCAACCAAACGTTTGTTCCACTAAAAACAAATTTATGCAGCATTCTGCTCCGCATTGTTTGACGTTTCAGGACATTATTGCATAAATCAAATTATTTTGGTAAAGTGAATACTCTAGACCAGCATTTAAATCTTAGATAGTGGGGAGCAGTATGGTGAAATGATTTGTTCTTGAGATTCATCAGAATTTATCATGGCATTAGTCGATTGTATCGAAATATATTGTTAGAATAAAACCATTACCAATAGTTTCCGGTGGAGTTTTGTCCAACAATGCAGCAAGCTTTGGGAAATAGTCTTTATCCAGTACAATTACCTTTTCTGATCCATCTATTATGATTTCCGGGGTCAATGAGGCTAATTCCCTGATTGACTCAAGCCAGTTTATCTGGTAATGAATTTATAGAATAGTTTATATAATATTATATTATATTACGACGTAATGAAATTAGTTGAATTTCTGATTTTACTCTGGCATTTGGAGTGCTAATTCGTGCACGATCATAAAAGGCCTGCAGTTCGTCTATTGTCATTAGGTTATACAACCTATCGATATCTTGGACACCGAGTTCTCCAGAGCTTATCTACAATGGAAAATTAATTTGTTCAATTGGTAAATTGTGGATCTAATGTTGATGTCATACCTCGGCTAGTTCCTTTTCAAATTTATTCAGATCTGCTAATTGTGCGGTTGTTGTTAGCCCTTCGGACGATGCACCTGATGCTTTTTGAAATATATCAATTAATTTGAGTTTGTGGTCATTGTAGGCCTTTGACAGGTCGTCACTTGCTGGAGCTAGTATTTCCTTCTCTTTTAGAACAAGCGACGTTCCACCAATCTAAAGAAAAAAAATACATATATATATATATATATATATATATATATATATATATATATATATATATATATACATATATATATATATATGTAAAAGAAAAAGAATATTCTATTTACCATGAATCTGGTGATGCTAGAATTCTTAGGATCTGCTAAGATGTCTATAGAGAATATGGTGTCGAGACTCATCGTTTTGAGTACTTGATTAACTATTTGTTGCACATTAAGGTTTTTCGATTTCCACTCTCGAAGGTTCATTATCAATGGCCATCCTCCGAGCCCATTGATAAATGATTTGATCGGTTCCACACCATCTTTCTCAATTTTATCTATAACATTTAAACTTGAAGAAATTGCAAATCTGAGCCGGTCACTGCTCAGAAAGAAACTTTTCTGACGAACATGAGTTTTCAGCAGGAGCCGAAACCCATCATATGAGCTAGAAATTTTTCTTTCGGCCGATTGCCAAAGATAATAGTTTTTGAACAAAAGAACAAAAAGAATTAAGAATTCAGTACCGTCATCACTGCAGGCTCGATAGATCCTTCGCGCTTTGCGAATTGCGTTAGTATCATTCTCCGAATCCTCCGCCTTTAAGATATTTACAATTTTCGGGTCCAACTCAGTCGTCATCTTTATCATATTCGTCCAATAATCGTATCCCTCTACGCTAGGATGATGTTCCGACCAATGACCACATGAATATGCGTAAAAATCATCGCATGGATTCACCGTTTCGTCAAGAGCGCTCAGCAATTCCTTTACTGTAGAAGATAAGTTGAGCGTTTGAAAAAATATTGTCTGAACAAATCTCCGTTTTGATGGGATGATCTCCCTATCAAGAATTCCTTAACTGTCGCATGCTCAAAAAAAGTCTCATACGTTCATTCATAAATCTATTAGATTTACCTGTGTCGGAAACTGCGACATCTCTCTTGACGGGAAGCGAGTGAGATAATGGAATTAACGTGAGAGTAAGAATTCTAGAAAAGAAAGAAAATGTTAATTTAGTGATTAATAAAATCTTGGAAATATAAATGAATAATACTTACAGGGTAAAATTGAAAAAATCACATGCTCTAGAATGAGACATCGTGCTGGGGTATGTCTCAAAACTGTATCAACGAAGTCACCACTTTGTATGGCTTTCGTGTCGAGAAACCTTTTCTTAAGTAAGAATTTTTCAAGGTTAATAGAGCTTATATTGTTGTCGGTTAACGGAAGGGTCAGAGTTTTTGATTTAAACTACTTGAATTGGAAGTTACGCCTTCTATTGTATGATAATATTTTTCGATTTTCCATTGTTCTACTAGTAGATTTTTCATTTTTCGTATTCTGATGCATAATGTGTGTCCGTGGAAAAGTTATGAACAGAACTCGATATAGGCTATCATTCTAATAGAAAGGTCATGAATTGCGAAGGGGAGTAACCCCGAGACAAAGTTGGCATTTAGAATTTTCATCAAAAACATCCTACATAATAATAATTCAACGAGTAACTCGCAGTGTGAATCAGATTTTTTAGATTCAATCATTTCCTAGCTGCTTTTGTTTGCAATTATTACTTCATGATGTAAGAGAATTTCAGAATTTATTGAAGGTTCGGAAATTCAATGAAGAGGGTGAGTGATGATAGCCCTAGCGGACCCATTGGAAAGTCCAACTCTCTATTTGTTCCACGATTAGAGAGTAAGTAGAGAATGGGTAGAGAGTTGGGCTGACAGGGCAGATTGTCTACTCTCCAATGCTTTGAGAGAGTAGATAGCTGAGGTGAAGGATATGCTGACCTTTATTAACTATGGCCCTTAAGAAATTTGACCCTCTAACCGACTGACCCTTGTACTTTGGACCTGTTTGAACTCCCGGAGCTGAAACATTTGGACCCTGGAATGTTTTCAGCTGAAAAGACTCTGATTTCATTTGAAAGTTTTTAATTGGATCTTTGTGACCCTTATAATTTCAGACCCTTAATATTCCAGACCCTTGAATTGGGACTCTCAATAATTCCGACCCTTGAAAATATTGAAAAGTGCAACTTTTGACCCTTAAACCTTCAGACACTTAGACTAGTCGTACTATCTACTCTCTACTCTTGTAGAGAGTAGATAGTTGGGAGCGGATGCGTGGTGGGGGGTACTCTCTACTCTCTACGCGTCTAGAGAGTAGATAGTTGGCCCTTATTTTCTTTAGACCCTCATCATTCCTCATGACCCTAAAAATTTGACCCTAAATGGTGCTGACCCTTGAACATGTATAGAGTGAAATTTTAGACGCTTAAAATTTCTGACCCTTAGACTAGAACAGTAGAGAGTAGATAGTTGGGATCGGATGCGAGGTGGGGGCTACTCTCTACTCTCTACTCGTCTAGAGAGTAGATAGTTGGCGGTAGGTGCTGGGTTGGAGCATTCAGACCCTTATCGTTCCTCATGACCCGTAAAACTTGACCCTCAATAGTGCTGACCCTTGAAAATGATAACAGTTAAATTATTGACCCTTAATATTTCTGATCCTTAGACTAGCCGTACTATCTACTCTACGATCTACTGTTGTACAACAGTAGATAGTAGATAGTACGGCTATTGAGGGTCAAGGTTCACGGGTCACAACAGTAGAGAGTAGATAGTTGGGAGCGGATGCGTGGTGGGGGCTACACTCTATTGTCTACCCGTCTAGAGAGTAGATAGTTGGCGCCGGGTGCTTGATGGAGGCATTCAGACCCATATAATTTTAGACCTTTATCGTTGCTTATGCGCCTTGAAACTTGAATCTCAATGGTGCTGACCCTTGAAAATGATCAATTAAAATTTTTGACCCTTACTATTTCTGACCCTTAGACTAGCCGTACTATCAAAGTACGCGACAGCGTATCGGCCAAGTTGATGTTTTACCGGTGTGACGTCATGGGCCGATGCTATTTCGTATAATATACACGATACAACTACTCCTCGAATGGTTTTTATTTTTTTTCTCGTGACACGAGAATTTCTCGCGAAATCCGTCCTTAGTTACATTATATAAGTTGACTATGAGCTTTCTAAAGATATTTTTACTTTCTCGATAAATCAATAATAAATAAAAATATCCGCCATAGCAACCATCATAATGTAATATTTCGCGATTTTATTTTCTCTCAGCGATTTGTTCGTCAAAGTTGGCAAGGAACATAATGTCTGTTTCTCTCTTTCTCTCTCTTCTTCCCTTTTTTCCCGCTGTTACCGGTAGCGTTGGCAGCAGAGATTATAGGTAAGGTATGATACAAGCAGGTATGATGAAGCCCAGCCCAGCCCCCTGACATTCGACGAAACTACAGTCGACGCTAATGAGGCTGCCGCTATGGCGCTGGCTGTACTGTCGTTTGACCCGTTCGTTCGCGCCAGTCCATACGCCGTTTGAATACCCATATGCCACTGTCGTTGATTCACAGAGGCGATGGTACACATAAACGAGTAACATCTCCTCTGTGGTCTATTTAATAAGAATAAGGGAATATTTTGGGAAGGGGTGAATGATCAAATGAAAGGAGAGTGTTCTCATTATAATAAAATTTATTCAAACATAAATATGAAGGATACAAAAACGTTCAGGTTTTCATTAGCTTTGCCATTTTTCTCTTCTCCTGATTCAGTTTTTTCTGCTCGGCGTTAAAGCGTACGCAAAATTCTCGCATGCGTGTCGAGATGAACAAATGGATTGTTTGATAAAGAATATCTGTCGCATGCTCTTTGCAAGCAAAAGAGAAATTAGGATATTGATAGACATCTTCAAGAATATCGTCAAATAAATAGGGGGAATTGGAATGATGGATGAATCGCTCTTCGAGAAATAGTATGAAATGATACATTTGCTTGTTAGGGTGTAGAAGAGGACCTTTCATTAGGACGTCAGAAAAATGTGATTCTGGGATAGGTCTGTGGTCAGGCTGTAAAAGTGCCTTTTTACAGTTGGGACACCCAGCATTGTTCATCACTCGCTTGATAATATTACCAGTCATGAGATACATCATGCAATTTGAAATCTCTGGTTGAGCATAATCATGGTCAAAAATGTCCTCCAACTCCATTTCACCATCTCCAACTATTTTATCTAGTTTATCCTTTACCGCTCGGGTGAGTTCAGAGTCAGGGTTTTTTTTGTAAATAGTTTTTAGTTCAGAAAGTGTGATAAGAGGTTCACATAGTTTATCAGTCGCTCTTACTGTACAG